TTTCTATGCAACAGACATATTTCTCTCTCTCTCCCTCTCTCTCTCTCTCTCCCCTCTGTTCTTCTCTGTGGCTGTGAGACGTTAATAACATCCAGAGAGATGGATGTGGTTCTCGCGCTCGGATGTTCTGATTAAACTCGGATGTGTGATTATTCATCACAGAGACGCAGACGCCGGACGGAGGATCCCATCAGACACTGCCTGCTGAAGCTGGAGCCCTTTGGACGCCCACACGCTCACACACACATCAGACCAGCGTCCCACTCTCCTTTCTGCTTTTGTCTTCTCTTATAAAGCAGTTCTCCAGTCCTAACTGAGAATTCCACTGCATTCCAGTGATTTTTCAACAAATCACAGATTACTGATGTGTAAACAGAGTCATTCAGAGTGGTTTGGTGTGAAATGCTCCGTTCTAGAGAAACTTCCAGTCAGAATTGTTCACAGTGGTGGTGACAGGAACCAGACGTCCACCTCCAAAAGCTCCATCACAGAAAGTTACTACATGAAATGGTTATGAATTCACTGCCTGAAGATCTCCGCTGACTCGTCACAGCCCGGACACCACCAGCTTCTTCCCACAAGCCATCAACCTCTTAAACATGTAAATATTACACATGCATTATATTCCAGCTTCTAAACTGGACTTTTAAATATATTGGTATATAGTATCACACTCAACTCAACTACCGTCCAGACCAGTGTTTCTTCTAGCATCTTACTTACCTGCCTTATTACCCCACTTATCTCACTCTTATCTCACTTACCTGCCTTATTACCCCACTTGTCTGACTGTTACCTCACTTACCTGCCTTATTACCCCGCTTATCTGACTGTTACCTCACTGATCCCTTTCTTTGCCACTATACCCTTTAACTGCTGCACTTGCTGCAGTGTATTGACTATACACAGTGTATTGACTGTATGCAGTGTGCTGTTTATAAGCAGTGTGTTGATTATAAGCAGTGTATTTACTATATGCAATGTATTGATTATATGCAGTGTATTGACTATACACAGTGTATTGACTGTATGCAGTGTATTGACTATATGCAATATATTGACCATATGCAGTGTATTGACTACAGTGTATTGACTGTATGCAGTGTATTGACTATATGCAGTGTATTGACTTTATGCAGTGTATTGACTTTATGCAGTGTATTGACTATACGCAGTGTATTGATTATACGCAGTGTATTGACTATGCAGTGTATTTACTATATGCAGTGTATTGACTGCATGCAGTGTATTGACTACGCTGTGTATTGACTATATGCAGTGTATTGACTATACGCAGTGTATTGACTTTAAGCTGTGTATTGACTATATGCAGTGTATTGACTATACGCAGTGTATTGACTTTAAGCTGTGTATTGACTATACGCAGTGTATTGACTTTAAGCTGTGTATTGACTATATGCAGTGTATTGACTATACGCAGTGTATTGACTTTAAGCAGTGTATTGACTGTATGCAATGTATAAACTTTGCACAGTGTATTGCAATTTTACTTATTCTCATACTTTATAATTGTATTTATTATATATCTTTACTTCTTCTATTTGTGCCTCTGTATAATAACGAACGACAATATTTTTGCTCTTTTTTGCTCTTTACTGTACTTTGTGCCGCTGTAATAGACGACTTTCCCTCTGGGGATCTATCTCTCTATCTGTCTATCTATCTATCTATCTATCTATCTATCTATCTATCTACCGAACTATCTGTCTATGTATCTATCTCTGTATCTCTGTATCTATCTCTGTATCTCTGTATTATCTATCTATCTATCTATCTATCTGTCTGTCTGTCTGTCTGTCTATTATAGGGCAAATAGTCCTCAAAAAAATGTACACCATTAAAATCATTAACATAAAAACTCGTGTGGGTTCACTGGTGGTTTTGGATAGTAAATAAAGTGGCTATATGTGTGTTGTAGTCATCATGACCCCTGGTTCCTATCAGCACCACTGTAAGGAAATCTGAATCTCTAAGTTTCTCTACAAGGAAACATTTCACACCAAACTAGGGCTGCAACTAATGGAGACTAAAACACAAAGAAAAAACTAAAAGCACCTCAGCTTGTCTGTATGTGTGAGCTTAAAAGCAGCCCTTAACTACTTCACATTAAGTAGCTTCATAGACGGATGGAGGCACAATTTAAAATGTACCGAGTTCATACAATCCACGGTTCAGTTCAGTTTCCATGTATGGACTATATGAACTGGGTACATTTTAGACAATATTTATATACTGCATTAAACTCTTTTATTTCAAAAAAGCAAGGAAAAAAAGATTTTTCATGATTCAGGCCCTTCCAAACAGCAGTAGCAGCCAACTTGAAGCCTCAGTTATGTTTGTATGTTTATCTGTTTTGTGCAACACTAACAAACTAATTCATGGACACCAAATATGAGGTAAGAGGAACAAATGTGAAAAAATTAAATTTTTGGTCGCTTTGAGTGATTTGAGTGATCTCTGTCTACATGGACTCCCTGACCAGCTTGAACATCTCCAAACACAAAGCTGTTATCAACATCGGCAACAAACCGTCAGAGCAAAACAACACAAATCCTCCTCCATCTGTCCAGGAAGAGACGGAAAACACTGGAGACCGATTTACACAAAGCCAGGCTGCAGCACAGATAACACTGACGCTCAGACAGGGATCAGATCCATACTGGTTGCCAGGGGTCCTCCAGCTCTTCTGACAGGTTTCTGGTAGACGTTGAACATTATCTCACAGGTCTCTCCTCTGTTTAATCTGCTTTGTAATCCTGTCCTGCTTGTTCTACTCTCTGTTCTACCAGCCTGTGAGGCCCAGGTGAGGATGGGTTTGAGCCTTGGTTCCTCTCACCGTTACTTGCTGATGATCTCGTATTCAGCGTGGTTCCACTCAGTGGTTCCTCCTCATGCTCTTGGGGCGTTTTTCCTATTGAGTCTTGGTTCCACTCAGTGGTTCTTCCTCTTGCTTTTAGAGAGTTTTTCCTTTTGAGTCTTGGTTCCTCTCAGTGGTTCTTCCTCTTGCTTTTAGAGAGTTTTTCCTTTTGAGTCTTGGTTCCTCTCAGTGGTTCTTCCTCTTGCTTTTAGAGAGTTTTTCCTTTTGATCATTGGTTCCACTCAGTGTTTCCTCCTCATGGTCTTAAGAAGTTTATCCTTTTGAGTTGTGGTCCCTTTCAATGTTCCTTCCTCATGCTTTTTGGGAGGTTTTCCTTTTGAAGCTTGGTTCCTATCGGTGGTTCTTTCTAATGCTCTCATGGAGTTTCACCATTTGAGTCTTGATCCCTCTCAGTGTTTCTTCCTGATACTCATATGTTTTTTTCCATTCGAGTCTTGGTTCCACTCAGTGGTTCTTCCTCGTGCTATTAGGGATTTTATCCTTTTGAGTCTTGGTTCCTCTCAGTGGTTCTTCCTCATGCTATTGGGGATTTTATCCTTTTGAGTCTTGGTTCCTCTCAGTGGTTCTTCCTCATGCTATTGGGGATTTTATCCTTTTGAGTCTTGGTTCCTCTCAGTGGTTCTTCCTCGTGATGTTAGGGATTTTATCCTTTTGAGTCTTGGTTCCTCTCAGTGGTTCTTCCTCATGCTATTGGGGATTTTATCCTTTTGAATCTTGGTTCCTCTCAGTGGTTCTTCCTCATGCTATTGGGGATTTTATCCTTTTGAGTCTTGGTTCCTCTCAGTGGTTCTTCCTCGTGATGTTAGGGATTTTATCCTTTTGAGTCTTGGTTCCTCTCAGTGGTTCTTCCTCATGCTATTGGGGATTTTATCCTTTTGAGTCTTGGTTCCTCTCAGTGGTTCTTCCTCGTGATGTTAGGGATTTTATCCTTTTGAATCTTGGTTCCTCTCAGTGGTTCTTCCTCATGCTTTTAGGGATTTTATCCTTTTGAGTCTTGGTTCCTCTCAGTGGTTCTTCCTCATGCTTTTAGGGATTTTATCCTTTTGAGTCTTGGTTCCTCTCTTAGTTCTTATGGAGTTACTCCTTTTGAGTTGTGGTTCCTTTCAGTGTTTCGTCTTCCTTCTTTTAGGGAGTTTTTTGCTGTCCTTGTTTCCATTGGCGACATTAGGGGGGGTCTGGCCCATATTTCTGGAGAGCTGATTTGGGACAAAACCTGTTGTAGAAAGTGCCATATAAACAAAACTGCACCGAGTGTAATTGAATGGAGTGACAGAAATAGGGCTCCCCCTTGTGTTCACCACGACAAATACACACTAATGACTGTACTGCCCCCTCTGCCTCCAGACCTCAGTCGCACTCAAGTACAAATGCTGGAAGCTGTTGCATCAGTAGTTTTAACCCATTGCCTGTGGGCAAACTTTATGAGCTATTTCTTTAGACGTTGGCATACGGGCACAAACGTGCTTCCCCTTCAGTAAACTGCACTTAATAAGTTCTACACATCATATTAAAGTCGACAGAAAGGCTGTTTTACGTGTTTTTGTACGCTTTAATACGTCAAACAGATCAAACCGTGCCATTAAAAATACTCCGCAGCCCAAATGAAGCCTTAAAAACAAACACTGCGTTTCAGAAAACTCGCTGCTCAGAGTTTTCAGTGGTGACGTTCGACTTGTTGTATTTTTCCCCCACCCGCATTCAGACAAGCCCCGCCCGCCGCGCTGTGATTGGATAGTGGCATCGCGCCTCTTGCGCCGGGACAGACTAGGGTTTTAACCTCATAGGCAACCAGGTCCTATCGGAGCCCGGGAGGCGGGACTTGTCGGAATACAGGTGGGAAAAAATTGCCAAACTCCTTTGCAATCGCGTGGGAGGCGGGGCTTGTTGGAATACGGGTGGAAAAACAACAGAACGTTCGTGTGGACGAGCGCGGGAGGCGGGGCTTGTCGCAAAAAGGGTGGGAAAATAGAACTTTCGCGCGCGCGAGGCGGGGCCTGTCGCAATACGGGTGGAAAATAACAGAGCTATCGTGTGGAGGCGCGAGGGAGGCGGGGCTTGCCGCAATATGGGTGGGAAAAATAACAACTTCGGTGTGGAAGTTTGTGTGGAGTTTGGAAGTTTTTTTTTTTTCCGCTCCATCGAGACGAGTTTTCCGTTAACGGCCGAGCAGAGCTTGGGGGGAGTCGGGGAGAGAAACACTGCACACACACACGAAACCGAGTTAAATCGTTTCTTTTCTCTTATGAAAGCCTCGAAAAGGGCTGAACTTTCCTCGCCCGAGCCCCGGAGGAAGACTCCTTCCACCAGCGAGAGCGGGAGCGATGCGATGTGACTGAGCTATGCCGTGGAGCAATGGACACACTGTGCCGAAGCGGAAACATGGCGGCGGCGGGGTCCGCTGCCCCAGGCTCGGGCTGCTCCCCACTCTGCTCTTCGCGCTCGGCTGCCTGGAGGCGTCGTCGCGGGCCTCGGCTTGGGGATCGGGGGCAGACGGCCGGGCCTGCAGCCCCTGTCCCGGGAACTGCAGCTGCGCCGTGGCCGGACCCCAGAACTCCTGCGTGGTCAACTGCTCCAGCCGCGGGCTGGAATGGGCCCCGACGGCCGCCGACCTGCCCAGCGACACCAGCACGCTGTGAGTGCGACCGTTACGGCCGTTACTGTTCAAACGAGCGGTATTTTCTTTTAAACAAGCAGCAGAATTCTGAAGGGGGGGGGGTGTTTAAAAACGCACGAGATGCTAGTGAGTGGTGGTTGCGCGCGCTCGCGCGTTCTTTTTGTTGACGTGTAGTAGGAGCTGGAGAACTGAACGGGCTGATGGGTGACTCTCTCTCTCTCTCTCTGTCTCTCTCTCTCTCTCTCTCTATTGCTTCATTGTTCGGTCTGTATCTCTCCTTCTTTCTCCCACTTTCTTCTCTCTTTCTCTCACTCTTTTATCTTTTTCTCTCACTTTCTTCTCATTTTCTTTCTTTCTTTTCCCATTTCTTTTCTCTTTCTTCTCTCACACTTTATTTCTTTTCTCTTTTTCTTTCACTTTCTTGTCTCTATCTCTCCTCTCTCCTTTTTTATTCTCTCTCTCTCTCTCTCTCTCTCTTTCTCTCTCTCAACACTTTCTTTTTTCTCTCTCTCGCTTCTTTCTGTCGTGCTCGGATGTTAAGTTGTTTTTGTGTTGCTGTGACGATTTGTGATGTAGGGATTTGGCTGCCATGTATTTTCCTCCCCCTTTCTTTCTTCTCTTCCCTCCATCTCTGTCCTTTCTCTTTCTTTTCTCGTGTTTTCCTCTTTCAGTAACTTCTTTCCTCTCTCTCTCTCTCTCTCTCTCTCTCTCTCTCTCTCTCTCTCTCTCTCTCTCTCTCTCTCTCCCCCCCCCACACTTTCTGCTCTTTCTCTCTCTTTTCTCATTTTCCTCTCTTTCTCACACGCTCTTTCTCTTCTGTTTTTCTTTCACTTTGTTGTCTCCATCTCTCTCCACTCTCTTCTCCCTGTTTCTCTCTCTCTCTCTCTCTCTCTCTCTCTCTCATATCAGTTTGGCTACTAATAAATCTGATTACTTCCAGTTTCTGTGATCGGTGCATTAAAGTAAATGCATTTCCAGTCATCTTAACCTGGTTTGTTCTTAAGTGAATCATCTGCTGCAGTAACAGCAGCAAATTTGGAAATAAATCCAAATTTAATGTGGAATCAAATTAATTTGGAGACGTGATTAGCCTATAAATAGAGCCTGAAAATACAAACAGTAAACAAACATGTAAACAAATGTGTGCTTTGGGTCTAAAACCCAAACTGAAAGTAGCTGAAAGTGGCCTGAACATGGTGGGAAAAGTGAATAACATTCTTTTTATCTTAAAAAATATATACTACTAATAATTTGAAGCAAAAACAAAATACAATGCAAAGTAACATAAACATAAATACAGGAAGGTGTTTCACAAAGCAGGATGTCTCAGTTAAGCTGGACAACTTGAGCCCAAATTGAGGACAGTCCAGTAGGAGCATCTGTGTGTTCACATAAGTTTCAGTACATAAAAAAGTGGGCAACCAAAACAAACAGCAGAGAAGTAAACAAATATACAAACAACCTTAGACAGCCCTGCTGGTTAGCTGGTTAACCCGATCCTGTCCTTATCAGACATTTAAATATGTTAATTTGAGTATTTATCAGTTTTATCATGTTAAATTCTGCCTTTTGGTCACTTAGGGCTACTGATTAAAAACAAAACAACAGAAAACCCAGATTTGAGTTACAGTATGAAAATGACGTGTAATTGAAACAGTTTGAATAAGCTGTGTTGAATGTACGTGCAGTGTATAACTATACTAAACTATACACCAGTCCCAAACGGAAATCCGATATAATATATGGATATAACAAATGGACACACGCATTTGGCAGCTTATTATATATAGCCTTATGTATATAGTATTTTATCTATCTATATATATATATATATATATATATATATATATATATATATATATACATTATATGATATATATATATCTATATATATAGATAGATAGATAGATAGATACATGTATATGTACACATATATACAAATGTGCAACAAAAATAAACAGCAGAGAAGTAAATAAACAAAAACCCAACATATTTAATAATATATGACAAACATCTCTCTCTCTCTCTCTCTCTCTATATATATATATATATATATATATATATATATATATATATATATGCATACACATTGGGCCATTTCTTTTCATCCATTCATCATGAAATGTACACACAGTGTAAAGGGTGTATATATTGTCAGAACAAAACCTCATATCACCATTTTTTTTGTTTTTCAGTTTTTGACATAATTTGAATATACCTGTTGTCCTTTACATGGTGTGTAAATTTCATGGTGAATGGACTAAAAGAAACGACCCAAAATGACTTTGAAAAAAGTCTGGTTCCATTGACTTACATTAAAAGTAAAGTATTTTTTTTCCTTCTCCTGTAAAGTTATCATTTTGGAGATATGAGATTTTTTTCTGACAACAGCGATATATATATAAATATATATGTTATATACTGTTTTTATTGAATGTATGTGCTGCTAGAATATTTTATTTTGATTACATTATACAGTTATAACAGTACTAGGTTGTATTCAGCCTTGTATCTGACATGTATGTATATGTATGGTCCATATATTATTCATGTACACCCATAAATCAGATTTCGGTCTGAGATTAGACAAAGTTTTGTGACATTTTCCCTCATCATACTGAATCTAGCTGGTGGATGTGAGTGGTTAATCAGAGTCTCTGGCTGTGCTAAACTGTATCACGTTCTCCAGCAGTAGTTGTCGTTTGTCCCTCTCCTTAGATGAACTGCAGTTTTTCACACCGCCTCGTTCCGCCAGAGAAAAACCAACGCTGTTGTGCGCCGAAGGCCATTTTCTGAAGTGATTTTCCAGCAGCGCGAGGCTTCATTAGACCATAAAACCATTCTTGCTGTAATAATCAATATTCTCCCATTTCGATGCCTCCGCAGCCCGTTTGTTTCTCATGTTTGCGAGTCAGTGGCAGAACTCAGTGTAATGGAATAAAGTGATGAATTAAAGCGAGGAGAAACACAGGGGTCGGTGAGAATAAACCGGGGAAGTTTGTCTCCGTTCCATTGGTCTGTTTCAGTCCTCATCCGTTTATATCTAACTGGGGTCAGCAGGGTTAAGTGACGTCCAGACCTGTGCAGAAAACCAATGTGAGTCTAAGGCTTTGTTCACACAGCAGGTAAAAGTGGCCCAAATCTGATTTTTCTGTTTGGCTGTTTCATTATCTTTTAAATGTGATCTGTATGCAACATCAGCCTGAACAGATCAGCTCACGCTGCTTCACGTGGCCCATCCAGAGGTAAACAGTCATGACTTCCAACAAACGCCAGTCACTCCTGGAGGGTTCAGCTTCATCTTCGCCAGCAGCACAGGAGCCATCATGAAGCTTCACTGACTGACAGCTGGGCTCATCACCCAGAGTGTGTTCGAGTTCGCCATCAGAAGTGCATTCGGCCACGGTCACTTCTTTGGTTCACATCTTCGGGTTCTTTAAACTTTGCTTTCAGAGTTTTAACTGTTTTTTGACGCCGCAGCCTCGTTCTCCTGCGGCCGCGTTCAGACATCTTTCAAAATCTCTTCAAATGTGGAGGGTTTTGGATGAGTCTCTACAGAAACATCAGCCCAGATGTTTATGAGTCTCAGCAGTGCGAAATCATGACGAATGTCGAGTTGGATTGACGTAAAAGCCGTGTGAATTCCGATCTGGCTGTTCAAAATGAGTTGCATTGCCGCAGATAAGATACGGATCGGATTTCAGTACCACATATGAAAGCGTCTCAAATCGGAATTGAAAATGTCTGATTCAGTGAGTTTTTTGCTGTTCATGCTGCCACACAGACACACATCTGTGTCACGTGAAGAAAAAGATCGGATTTGGGCCACTTTTACCTGATGTGTACTCGTAAATCTGGAATTGCATAGCATGACAACGAGCTCCAGGTAGAGATCGATGGCTGCTGCTGCTGTTTTTTAGCCATGCTAATGTTCTTTTGTCCTTAGCAGCATCTCTGCTTTAATATGAAAACTTCTTTATATTGTAAGTGTATCAAAGCATAAATGTTTTTATGATTTGTTTGCACGATATTTGAACAAGACGTTTCTCATGAAAAGTCTAAAGTCAAAGCTGTACTATGTAAACAGGAGAAAAGACTGAAAAACTATGAGTACAGTGAAGTTTTCAAGTAAGCGAATTAATAAAATAAGATGTTGTCATAATGTGCCGACATCGTCATCAGTTGCTGCGCGCTAGTTGTTGTTTACAGGCTCTCGATTATGTCTGTCTGTTGACTTGGTGATGTCACAGTGCAAAACCATGACAGTGGGTGTGTCTCAAAACCTAGTGAGCTCTCTAAGTGGCCACTGTCTACATAGGCAGCTGTCTAAGTAGGCAGCGTTCCAACCGTCATCTGTCCTTATAAGACAGATAAATGAGACGCTCTAGTTAGACAGCAGTGACGTCGCCGCTTGTTCCCGCCCACTGCACGAGACCGGCGGTTACTGACCTCAGCCGTCAGAATCACAATTAGCCAACATGGATCTGCTCTGGCGGTTTATATAGAGATTTTAACTGTATTTGCTCTGAATGAAACAGCAAAATAGACCATAGTTGTGGTCAAACGCGGACAGTATAGGCTATTTGTGCACCTTTATGACAGACTTATAACAGATAAATAATCCAGAAAATCGGAATAACTTACATTTGAAGATGACGTCGCTGCTCGGTGAAGCGCTTCTGCCCTCCATCTTCAAACCAAAATCGCGCCGCGCTGCATCGTGGGATTGCCTCAGCGGCTGAGGAAACACCCGATGCTCTCTCGATATTGGGCCAAAATGAGAGACCTCAGTAGGCAGCATGTTTGAGATATCATAATTGGGACGGCCTTCTTGTTGGGAGCGCGCAAAATACTGTCTATGTAGAGCTCACTAGGTTTTGAGACACACCCAGTGTGTTGTGGAGGACGGACGTTCTGTTGATTAGGACACTTAATGTTAAACCAAAGACTGCAAACGATCTTCGTCATCATCTCCCTCCAGCACTCGTCCTGCCTCCCTGCTCTAGTGTTGTTAGTGA